GTGTTATCTAACTTTCTTTTGTTCACGAACCTGCCACAGTATGCTGCTGGCCGCTTTTCAGTAGGGGCCAGATTAGCGTGCAGCGGTACTATGTGGCTCATCGCTGCGGTGGTGGAGCGCTTTTGTCCCCAGTGGTAATCCGCTCGCTCTAAATGCCCCAAGCCCTGGTATAGGGTTTCAAAACAAGGCTGGATTATCTCCACTTTTGAGAGTGAAAAATGTTGATAATGCCCAGAAGCCTGGTCTTTTGTTCGGAGTACGGTCTTTTGTCACAGGGCCCTGTTCCCTTTGTCCGAGTTTGGAGACCCCGGCCACGCATATAAAGCATACGTCTCCGATTCCGGAGTCCCCGGCAGGAAGTGGTCAATACTCAAATGGGGCTCCAGTGGGAGGAATGCCTGTTATACGTTATTAGAAGAACTTTCATTAGAAATCAGAACAAACTAGCTGTTAGTGATCTTTTTTCTTATTCAGTGTGACATGTATATGTATATGAATCAGTGGTATGATTTCCCGGGATTTGTCTCAGATATCGGGATTTTTGGCACAACAATCTGAAATTTTAGATTGTAATCATGATGGACTTGCCAAGTTTTTCTCATTTTATGATAAAAACAAGTGCAAGATTTACATAATTATGGCCACTAAAAGCCCTGGAATGCTCATATTATTTTATTGAAAACATTGTTATTGTTACACCTAGTCTGCTTGATACATGACGGATTTGTCTCTGTTGCCGAATTTACCCCCTCATTAATGCATATTTGTGAATCCCTGCTTGAAAGTCCTTTTCTGAATTGCTTTTGATGTTTCAGATCCCTGCACCCTCCCGCTAGAGCATGGCAACTGCTTTGAGACCCACCTCCGTTGGTTTTACAACATCCGCACACAGCAGTGCGAGCAGTTCAACTACACCGGTTGCCTGGGCAACCCCAACCGTTTTGAGGATGCCGCCAGCTGCGAGGAGCGTTGTGGTGTGGTAGACAGGGTACCAGATCAGCCAGAAACCACAGGAGTCGTTGTTGGTAAAGTATTTTATATCACACATACACGTTTCATTCATGTACGTGCAGGACAAAAAAAAGTTTGTTAATGGTTTTTGTCTGTGATCCTCGTTGAGACATTTGGGTTTTCCTTTGGAAAAGCTTTGGAGTGAAATCTTTTCACAGGCTGTTGGAAATGAAGGATATTTTGGAAATGGAAAATTAATAGGGATGTGGTGCTGGTTGTACCAGCTCAGCTTAATCGTATGCGAGGACTTGGAGACAGGCACTGGTAATATGTAAAAGTGAGATTTTTTCAAACCATTTGAAAATCGCACTGCAACTTGGACAAATGTCATTCACTCACTGTTCTCTTTATTGTCCATCTTTCCTCAAACATGAGGACTTGAGTCCATGATTATCATTTGTAGTTGGCCAAGTCATTTTTTGCCATTTCGCCCAGTTATTATAATCCATTTCTTGTATTAAACGAGACAATTTATTCCTCGAAAGCACCCTGGGCACTGTAGCTCCCAAAGCCTGAAGAAACCTGCAGTGACGTACAGTTAAAGTTTTAGAGGTGGGAGGAAAACCCTGGAAGACNTGTTCTGGGTAAAACCCACAGAAAATTGAAAACCCAATCCACGCGCGGACTGAGCCAGGAATTGAACCCGGGCCGCTGAGGTGAAACGCAAGGAAACAACGATTATACCCCCCAAGGCATTTCTGAACGATGTTGATGTCATAAAGTCAATTCATCTTTTCTTTGGATCACCACGTAGATATGTTGTCAACAGTTCACTTAAATTGGAATTTTTATATTGTTATCAGATGTGTGTGGCTTACCCAAGGAGCATGGACCATGCAGGGAATCCATCCTGCAGTGGTACTATGACACTGAACGTAACTCATGCCAGCAATTTATCTACGGAGGATGCTTGGGCAATGCCAATAGGTTTGACTCAAGAGTCACCTGCTCACAAGCATGCATATCGTACGGTGGTAAGTATGTGACTTGATTCTATTGTGTGACGCAGTCGGTCAGTTTAGTCTATGACTAGTTTAGACTATGTTTGATATCGTCATACACAGTCTTTCCGTTTAAAGACCAACTTCAACAGTTTTAAAAGTTTTGAAAATAAACTGTTATTGTGTTTAGTGTGTCATGGATCATATATTCATTACCAAATCATGTCTTCATTGCATAATTTTGCATAATTTTACATAATTTTGACATAACGGTGTCTTCAAGTTTTATGAAAAATGTCCACATTCTGACCCCTGGCGGCGCTGTTGGGGAACAAAATTTGTATGATGTAATACTGGAGAAGAAATTGATAGTGGTATCCATGGCACGACTGGTTTTGCTATGAACGTACATGTACGTGTACATCTAAATGAACATGGAGCTACATGAGTATGCACGCGCTGTGCACCAGGGATCGATCTGTGTGGCGGGTCTACTATGCCACATTATTTCTTTTCCATCGAGCTTATTGCTCCGTTTTCATGATTTACAATAATGCTGAAATCTTGCATCACTGATGGATGTACTAGAAATTCTTCAAATTCTGTTTCCAAAAAATGAGAGCATTCTTCAAGTTCGTGCTTCGTGCATGCATTGTGGTCTTTCCTGTCCACGGTAATACATCACAGAAGTAAATATTCATTAGATGCTAATGAGTCATGACAACACGTCCATTTCTACAATACCGGACAGGACACGCAGGAAAACTGGGTACAAAAACTGTGTTTTATTATTGCAAGGGAGATATTGATATGTGCCAGTTTTATTAGACTTGGTTCTTCTGAATGGGATTTAATATGAGAAAAATTTGCATCGTTGGAGTTGGTCGTTAATGAATGTTCAGAAGTCTCCTGCAGTTAGGATTTTCTGCATTTTCTCCGAATTCTCTTGACACTTTCCTGCCAGATATGGTCAGTTGTTCCGTACAGTGGTGCCCTCTTCATAAATGTTCACAGCTAGATGCCAGGAATGATTGAGATCTGTTTAAATCACCTCTCTTTGCCCTTGTCTTTTGGCAGCGGAGCAGTGCTCCTTGCCCATCGAGCCCGGCCCATGCTTTGGGTACTTCCCTACATGGGGCTACAATGCTACAGTAGGGGCCTGCCAGCCATTTGTCTACGGGGGTTGCCAAGGCAACGACAACCGCTTTGACACGCAGGATGCATGTGACCATGCTTGCGGGCCAAAAGGTAGGTCTTGTTTGAGGGGATATGAGTCAAACGAAAGAGTATAGATATGTATTAACACTTCATTAAAAAACTGTTCAGAAAGTTCACAACATAAATTCTGTGTCAACTGTGACAACTATTTATTACGATGCGCATCGCACTTCACAGAATGAAATTAAGTGTCTTTCCTGCTCAAGTTTTTACATCACAGAAAAGGCACAGCAGACGATGTTGATATAATTATCAACTTGGGATGTGTTGCCACATGATTTTCCAAATGAAGGTAGCTGGTTTGAAGAATTGATGCTTGGCTTATAATTTTCAAGAATTATATTATTTCAAGAAGTCATATTTGCAGAAATCTTATTAACAAATTCAGTTTATTGAAGTACCTCAGCAAACCAGAGTAGAAATGTTTCCTCTTGAGATGTTTAATGTAATTTTGTTGAAATTATTCCAACTGTTAAAATGGAAAACAGGTTACTACCCCACAAACTAAATTTCCTGTATAAGCATCACTGACATTACTTTTCTGTAGCCATTACCAAGTGCCGCCGAAGCCGAAACTACGCCACCTACGTAGCCCAGGGTCGTCTTGGAGCTTTCATCCCCCAGTGCACCTTGGAGGGCCACTTTGAAGCCATGCAGTGCCACGGGAGCACCGGCCACTGCTGGTGTGTGGACATGAACGGCCGGGAGATCAACGGAAGTCGCCGGGCGCCAGGCATCCACGTCCAGCGACCAGACTGTGAAGGTTGGTTGTTGGTTTGGGATGAAATGAGTTCTCCATATGAAGTTTGAGGACCTTGGAGTTGATCCAACTATGATACTTTACCATGTACTTCACACCGGATAATATCTAAAAATGTAGGGGTTCTTGTGACGAAGCGTCGAGGACGTTTAACAGGTTCTGGCCAATTTTGTGTGTAGTACCAATAGCTGCGTGATTTCTTTACTTGGTCTCATGCCTAAGTGATCCCCATTGAGTTTGTACACACACACACACACACAGGCTCAAACTAGTATGTTGAGGTTGAGCATGTACATGTACGGAGCCCTCCAACAGCATCGGGCCATGCTTGGACTTTGCAGAGACTTACGAAATGAAACTGTTACCAACACATACATGCATGTAGGCGTGTTTTGCGATACCACTTGGGAGAAAGCATTGTGTTTCCAATCCAGGCTACAACACAGCACTCTGAGCACAATCTCTCACCACCCATGACAGTAGACTTGTTTCGCCCCAACTACAGCATCAGTCCCAAGTGGGGCGGCCCCGACTACAGCAGGGTCCAGTGTGTGCATGTGTCATATCATGACATGATGTGCTCAAGTCATTTTGTTTACATCAACAATTTTGTGCTTGCAGAAATGAGTTTCTATTACTGTAATAGATGAAGTACCATATTTTAGATAAATGATGTCAGGTGTGAGCTGCACAAACTTGGAAAAGGTTGAGAAATTTTCTCTAGTAATTGGCCAACAGTAGTTGGGCCAGCCAAACTGTAGCACTGTAGTTGGGACAAATGCTGTAGGTGTGGCTGAACAGACTGATGGCCATCAAGGATAGGGAAATATCTCTTGTTTCCTTTGTGTTCTGTCATCTGCGGTAAATAAAACCTGTACACACCCACTCTAATCTTACCCATCTTTGTTAGTCCACACGACTCGTTCACGGTGTAACCTGTGTCGTCTTTGACAGCGTTCCAACCCCGTACACTAACCACCTGCCAGCGACACCTGAAGCAGGTCCAGGGGAAGAATGGCCAGGCCCCGCCCGGCCGCTACGTCCCACAGTGCACCGAGGCGGGCGAGTACGAGACCGTCCAGTGCTACGGCAGCACAGGGTACTGCTGGTGCGTCAATGTCAACGGGGAGGAGATCGACGGCACACGCAGGGGACCGGGCATGGGCTCGCCTAATTGTGATGGTAAACACTCGTGTCCAACTTGATCAAATTTTAAATGAAAAAATTGAGTTGCTGAGTTTTGAGATGTGTACAGAGAATCTGCCCTCCCCATGCTGTTATTGTTTAGACCAGCACAAAACCCACACAAGACCACCAGTCTGAATAAGTCTTTTGTGAGTTAAATGTGAATAAATTCTTGTACACTGAGTTAATATCCGAGTGCACATAAACATAGCAATTTAAATTCCCTAGACTGAAGATACTGTTGCTATGCTTCGTGATTTGGGACATTCTTTTGCATAGCGACCACCACCTATGGAATGGACTGGTCCCTTTGTGCCCTTCTTATCTATTGAAAACAGTGTATTGGTGCAAGGCATCTCTTACGTAACTAAGCCAAAGCTTGCCCCGGATCATGAGCTATAGCAACAGTGGTTTTAGTATGGAGAATTCTAATTGTTATGTTCACGTGAATTTGAAGAACACAGTGTACCAGATTTTATTCAAGGCTAACTCGCATAAGGCTTATTCAGCTCACAAGCTGTTCAAATGAATTACAACAAAATATTTGCTTGTTTTTGTTCACCCTGTTACTTGTGTCTGTTCTTTTGTCTGGTCTTCCCTCTGGTCTTGACTGCAACAGCGATCACCGCCAACTTTTCAGTCATGCGTGACTTTGTTTTCCCATCTTGGTTCCTGTGCAGGTGGTGCCCAGGGTCCGTGCCCTTCTCTCGCCCTCCAGCTACAAGCCGGGCAGGCCACCAATGACTACCAGCCGGTCTGCACCCCCGACGGCCTGTTTGTGCGGGTGCAGTGCGACGGTGTACCCCAGTGCTTGTGCGTCAACGAGACCACAGGGGAAGTGTTGAAGGTTCTCAACGAGGTGCCGCTGGATGGGGACTTTGATGCTTGCAATGGTACGATTTGTTCTTGCTGTCATTACAATGGATTTCATCATTATCAGCTCATTAGAAACTACCAAAATTACTTGATTCACCAACAGAAATAGGTTTAACTTGAAATTAGCAATTAAGGCAGATCCAGTGTTTCTGAAAACAGGTGGGCATTTAATGGCTGTGAGGTTTGGCTTAAAAACCTGAGCTTCAGGGCATTAATAACAATTAAGGCAGATCCAGTGTTTCTGAAAACAGGTGGACATTTAATAGCTGTGAGGTTTGGCTTAAAAACCTGGCACAATTTTAATACTCCTCTCTTTGATAATTCAGCCTATAACAATGAACATTTAAAGTGCTGAGGAAAAGGCTTCAAATATATCAACATCTAGGGTTTTGGAGGTAGGACACCCAAAAGCAAGTATATGATTAATTTACCTCCTGAAAATCAAGACGAGAGAAATAAGGGGCGATTTCTTTCCATGACCAACTGGGCCAATTTCGGAAACACACGAGGGCAGATCTTGTGTTTATGTTGGATTGATGACGTCATTTGGGAAAAAGGCACAACAGGCATGCATGAAGCATGCATGAAGATACCTGTAAACTGTCATCGTTGTGGCCCGAATGCATTAAGGCGAGTTTTGATGACGTGTAGAAAATGTACAATATTATACATTAATTTCTTAAAGATGTATAACTTAAAAGCTTACTTTTAGCTGGTCAAAATAATTGTGAGATTTGTTCCAAAATGGAGTATGAAACATTGAAAGTGGAGAGGACCATATTTTTCGTGGCTTAGGTGTGAGAGAGCACTCGTGTTCACGTGCAGTGTGGCAGCGGACTATACATAGAACAATGCGATCAGCGCAGGAGCCAGTACGCAGACCTGAATCTTAGGCCGCATTGTGGGCTACCTTGTAATGTGTGCACACAGCAACCCATGTGCGGGCTTGTTTATTGCCGAGTCTACAGTGTTCAATGTGTCAAAGAAAAAGAGATAAACACATATAGGATTCTTCTCATGAAAGTGAGTGGATTCAGTTGCTATGAAAGTTACCATTTACCGAATGAGGACAACAGCACAGAGCCTGGCAGTGTTGACTGGCAACTGTGGCAGTCCCAAACCTGCCACCACCGGCAGATGCAACACAACGCAAGCAGTCGGCAAGGCTAATTATGTGTCACTTTTCTCAATGCGGAGTGGTTTTGCAGACACTAGATATTGTCAAAGTAGTCCTTGAAAATCATTGGCATGTTATTTTTATCTGGGAAAACCGGGAAAGTTTGAAATCAACCCTTGATGCGCTGTCCGGGAACAAGAGAATTAATCAATGCGTTATCGCACAGAAATGTCGAGACCAAGTCTCAGTACACGAGATTCCTGTCCGAAACTGCACAAGACCGGGGTATGTTTTGTCTTATGACAAAACATAACAAGTCATGCACTTGAACTTGATGTATGGAACAGTCAACATAGTGGACAAGAATCGCACAAGAACATTGCATTTTGAGCATGCCTTACTACGAGACTTGTGTGATAGATAAACACTGTTTTAGGGTTACTGGCATGTCATTATTAAATACATGAGTGTTTCTAAAATTGGGGAAAAAGGGACTCGCGGAAGCCCATTTTTTGGACATTTTTTTGGCCGTAAATGGGAAAAGTGTTCAATTTTTTCATGTTAATTTTGAAAGATTATCTTGCACAAAGGTTATAATTAGGGAAAGAAGGTTTTCTATTCCTACCTCTTTAATATAGTTGGGAACAGCAGAATCTATACCCCCGTGCATTGACTTTGGTGTGATTTTTATCATGAAATATTTCCAACAGAAGTTTTTAATAAAAAATACCCATTTAATCAAAGTAACAACGTTCCAAATGGAATAATTTAAGATGACACAGAAGATGACAGAGAAGATTGAGAGTTGGAAACTTCTTTTTTGAAAAATAATTACACCACTCATTTGTCGATAATTCAACACAGCATGTAACATTTCCACTACCTGTATTTATCCATCATTCAGATGCCCACCAGGAGCCGACACGTTGCCAGCAGCACAGGAACAGCGTCCTGGCCACTGAGGAGCCCACGGGTCACATCCGCTATGTCCCCGAATGCAACGAGGCCGGCGACTACAGGGAGATTCAGTGCTATGGCAACACGGGCCACTGCTGGTGTGTGAACGATAATGGGGAGGAAATTGACGGAACACGCAAGCGACCGGGAGAAGGAGTCCCCGACTGCACCGGTAGAGACCTTTTGGTTTTTCCATTAATCATTCATGCGATAATACATAGGTCATCTTTCTGGTCCCTGCTTGCTATAGAGGAATCCAGTGATGTTTCATTGGACTTTCTTGATGGCCCCCTTTAATGGTGGACAGCATTATAGTGGGTTACATACAGTAGTGAAGTGGGCCATCATTTGAACCAGGAAGTGTAGTGCAAATGAATGGAGTATGCCGGCGTGTTGGTTCACTCGCCGGTGCTCGCAGCTAATGCCTTTTCCACTTGCAACTGCGAGTTACATGTTCAGTTCGGTACTCTATAACAATGCTTAATGCCATTGGTAGGGGCCACCCTAAATGACCAGGGATGGCGTTACGATGGTCCCTGATCCATCTCTCTTAACTGAGAGCCTGTGATGTGAGATGTGTGTGCATAAATTTGTTTGAGGCCGCCAGTGAGCATTAAGCTGCCAGCTAACCCTAACAGTCCCAAATCCTCCAATTTCAATATGATTTTACATACACCCTTGGGGGTTAGGGTGAAGGTGCGTTTGTATGCCAATACCAGTTCAATATAACACTCTAGTTCCTTTTGTCCAGAGGAATGTCTGGGACCAGATATTTGTACAAATTCCTTTACTACTCACTAGAGTTTGGCTGGATATTCAGTTATCTCTTACTTGGATCAGCAATTTAAAATCTTTGTCATCTGTTGGCTCACATTGGTAATACTGAAGATTTGAAAACAGTTGTGACAGATCCCTTGAATTTGTCATATTCCTGTGGCTTTTTAATTGAAATTTATTTTTGATTGAACACAATTTCTGATTTTGCAAGACCCATTGATAGACCTACTAATCAGTGATTGGTAAATGTCAACGTATTCAGTTAAAGACTGCCATGCGGCACGTGAGGAGGCCTCATCTTCCGGAAGGATCGGGCATTACATCCCACAGTGCACCGAAGAGGGCTTGTACACACCCACTCAGTGCCATGGTGGGACGGGATATTGCTGGTGTGTCGACGAGAACGGTGAAGAACTGACAGGAACCAGGCGAGGCCCGGGAGATGAACCTGTCAACTGTGAAGGTAACTGCCAAACAGTTCCCGGTTCAGAAACACTGTGCCTGCTGTTGTCACCAAACAAGTGAACCACCTTGACTGTACTTCTGAACAATAACCATCTCAGTGCTTCCTCTATTAAACCGTGTTTCCAACATCAGCAAATGCTGACGCATTGTCAGAACGGCGAGACTTGACCATGACTGGCGCAATTACAGATATTGCAGATACTCTGAGTCTAGACATCAGTGTTTGCTTACAGTCACGGTCATTATTTACCACATCGAATGACCACTACACCAAACATGTCTTTGTGGACCCCATGCTGGTTGTAGTTTTGGCAGTCCACTTGAACTCCATGTTATTTTAATGGGTACTTTACAGATGTATGCAGCCTGCCCAAGGTGACTGGGCCCTGCAGGGGCTACTTCCCAGTCTTTGGTTACGACGCGATGATGGGCTCTTGCGACAAGTTCATCTATGGGGGCTGCCAAGGCAACGCCAATCGCTTCCAGACCCGTGAGGCTTGTCTGATTGCTTGCACTGGTGAGTCCCAACGCAGATCTTGCCTCGCCCCATTATCCATGCATGCCCCCCCATCCTCTTGCCCTATTGCCTCCAAGTTTTCATTTGGACTGACAAAAACTGTCTTGAAGGACTGGCATTGTTGCCGACTCCTTTACGAGTCGGCTACAGGTCTGGTCACAAGTAGCAGGGGATGAACAGCGTTTGGTTAGCTCATGACTTGAGTTGAGACTTGATGACTTGTGTTTGCCTTGTGATGGACTCGTGACGGACTTGGTGTCGATATCAAGGAAGGACCTTCTTTCCCTTGTAAGCTTGTTAGCCTCCAGCATTGGCTAAAGATAAGCAGCAATTCAAAGCACAGTGTGCAGTGTAGCCTTTGCCTGCAGGAGGCTGCACTGCAACTTCAAAGTTGACTTCCTGCATATATTGCAGTTAATCACTCAATCTGCTATAAGGCTTTCATCATCTGCATTCTGCACCATTCACTCATAAATGCACCTGGAAACACCGTAGTTCAATCTTGAGAAATAAATTTGCAGAAGAAAATTCCAGCCTGTATTGTGCTGAAAAAACATGTAAGTACTGTTGAATCCTTGAAACTTAGTGCAAAAAGAAAACATTAAACTATATCGGCACTTGGAAAGTTGCATTTATGCATCTCCAAAAGCAACTTTTCTGTATTATATACTTGCTGTAAGGACGATATATTGCAGTGTGATCATTAACCTGTTATTTTCTCCATTATCTAGATTACCAACCACAACCAACTACAGTATTACCTCCATACACCACCCAGTCAGTCAGTCCAACAGAGTCACCCGATGAGCGTTCGACAGTGTCCTCACCGACAAGCTCGCCACCAGTCAGCTCAACTGCTGAAACACCATCCACCGCGCCATCTGCTCCGCCACGCGCACCATCGACTCCATCTGTGGCATCCACGGCTGCCCCACGTGTCACTGCATCATCTAGTCCTGCCTCAAGATCCACCACAACAGCTCCATCCACGACAACCCCAGCCTCCACAACTTTGTCGGTTGATCCGACGGCAGCCGTCACCGAGCGTCAGTCACCCAGCCCGTTGCCGGACTCAACCGGAAGCGGCCAGCCGTCCACCACCCCCCAAACGACGACACTCATCTCCTCCATGTGCGAGATCCAGCGCAAGGAGGCCCTGGCCAACACGCTGCCGGGCGTCTTCATACCCCAGTGCCAGGAGGATGGGTCCTTTGTCCCCAAGCAGTGCTATGAGCTGATTGGTCAGTGCTGGTGTGTACACCAGGACGGCGTGGAGCAAGGAGGAACGAGAGCCCTCATTAATGAGCCTCTGGACTGCCAAGGTGAGACAAGACAGGGGCAAAAGATGTAAATCTCGACAGTGTTGCGACCATTACTTCTCCTCATAAGAAATTAAAAATTTATACTTTATTTATATTTATAAATCGGGGGTAGTGTTAGTGTTGAATCTTTGTTTGGCATCATTCAATGATGAGAGTTGTCAAGTTCTGACAAATCAGTCACTGTAATCAATCACATGTCAAATAGTTTTTTCAATGTCAATTCAGTAACCATTCATCGTGAACTCTCCAGCCGTTGATTGATGCGTCACACATTGGACAGAATATCCGCATGTCCATCTTAGCAGCTACCTCTGTTGATGAGCTAGAGGTACCCTGCCAACAGTGTCCATGCTTCCTGTTTGTTATCACACCATTACGTGCCAATTTTCTTGGGTAGACATTTGCAGCATGCCAGAGTTCAGAGGTCAGTGTCCAGACAACATCCAGAAGTGGTACTTCAACACCGAGGCTGGCGTGTGTGAGACTTTCACCTACAGTGGTTGTCAAGGCAACCTGAACCAGTTCGATGACCAGGCGACGTGCGAGCAGACATGTGTCACCCCAGGTGAGAAGATCACAAACCTGTCAAGTTTTTGCTGAAGCGAGAGTAAGCACACTGGATTTTGCCCACTACCAATTGGATGTACATGTAAACCAAGAAGCAAGGTATATTCAGTACTGTCTGAAAGCTTGTGAGAAGACAATTTTCGGAAAGAAGAAATTTTCACAAGGTTCTTGTGCCTTTGATCCGGCACTCGCTTACTACCATAGTGTAACTAGGGAGAAATGGCCAGGGGGGCACCCAAGGGTGCATTCATTATTTTGGGGGAGCCAATGAGCTACAGCTTGTACAGGGGTGTTCGTCAACATTTTAAGGGGGGAGGGTGGGTGGGTACCCACGGGGCATGGATCTGTTTTGGGGAGGCGTTTGTGCATCCCCATAGGTACACCACTGGCTCACTAGTGACAGAGTTGAAGTCAAGTGTTGTCTGAGTACTATCAGATTGCTTATTACGGTTGCGCTGTTCGGAGGCCAGATGATGAGTACAAAAGAAATTAATTTGGTCTGTCAGAAGCCGGTGGTTGGCTGCTCAGCTTGTTTTGGATATTCCAGGAAATTTTTTGTGAGGCAATCTCATTCAGTTTCTTCTGTCCGTCCACAGAGCCAACGTCCTGCCCAGAGAAGCGGAAGACCGCGTTGGCCCGCGGCCTCTTGGGCGAGTTCGTCCCCCAGTGCACCGAGGATGGCCTCTACGCCTCCAAGCAGTGCCACAGCAGCATTGGACACTGCTGGTGCGTGGATGAGGAAGGCATGGAGCTGGGTGCGACGCGACGTGGCCCAGGAGAGGAAATGCTGGATTGTGATGGTGAGTCGCAGTTGTGTGGGATATGCGGCCCGGTGGTTAGGGTTTGTAGCTTCTAATCGCAAGGTCGGGGGTCGAAAGCCCGCAGTTGCACCTGCCAGGATTTGAAGCCCCAACATGCTATGGCCTTGGGCAAGTCACTTCACCCTTTTCCTCCACCCTGGAGTAAATGGACACCTTTGAGGCCAGATATGGTCACTTGTTATGCCTTGTTTGTGCCTGAAATACATATAGTAGCATTGGGCTCGTATGTTCCCCAGGGAGCTGAGATGATATGAGGAACAGTGAAGAGGGATTATGATAAAATGTCGGCACCTATAAATGACCATGTGAACGATACTGTCAGATACTGTGCTCCTTACAAATGCCATGCAGAAAGGTAAGGATTTCAGGAATGTGGGGAAAGCATTGGATACAAGTTCACTTGATAATCATCTGCTTTTCAAATTATGTAGCTGAAATAAGTGCCCTTTTACGGTCGAACAAAAAACGTCCCAAGTTCACAGAATTCATCTTTAACCCCTTCACACCGGGAGGTGGCTATAGCCCGCCGTAAAAATTGAGATCCTCAGCCCGCTTTTCAGCTATTATTCTCGGCCCACGCTCGAGCGAACACGGTGAAAGAAGGCAGACCCTGGCTCTTGTGTATATGTTAATTGGTCTTTGTGTCTAGCCCAGAAATGAAAAGACCGATTTTGCATCATAATCACTAGCTTCACAATAGTCCCCACTTTGAAAAGAGGCAATGGGAATGTGGAAGCTTGAGTAGAGCTGCATGCCACCAAACAATCAGCCTTTTCACCGTGTAATTCAAAGCGTGCAGAGCACGCTGGGACTTAAACCGAGAATTTGCAGTTTGGCAGGTGGCCTTCGTGGCCAAGCGAGGCTGGAATTCCTGGAGTCGGCTTTCGGAAAGAAATTCCAGCCGAGAAGGGGTTAAAACCCTAAACTTATGTAGTTGTTTTTATCTTTATTTTTGAAACGAGAGCAGACCAATGTTTCTTGTAGCTCTCAGTTTTTAGACCTTCATGAGATTATTTTTTTTTACTTTCCGATTTATTGACAAAAAAGTGATTTTCTTTGGGAATTTTTTGTTTTGTTCAGATGCGTGTAGTCTGCCCAAGTTCAGTGGTCCTTGCAAAGGGTCCAGTGCCATGTGGTACTATGACGTCATTACCGAGAGGTGTAAACCCTTCAACTATGGAGGTTGCCAAGGCAACGGCAATCGATTTGAGACGGAGGCAGAGTGCCAGACGACGTGCTACATTCCAGGTAGATACGATCCCAGGCACGCGTTAGGTTGCTTCAGTCACTGCCACTAGCATTCCCTCCACTCATTTATGGATTGCTCTCTTCGGTTTTGGTATATCGGCTTGATGATGTAGCAATGTGGAATGCAAATGAAGATATGGAAATAGCTGGATTAAAGCCGTCCTAACTATCAAGAGGTCTTTTCACTCTACAATCTCTCTACCCGGGTTGACCTCGGCCCGGAGTGAACCCATTACCGCCCTGGGTTGAAAATTTGGTTTTTCAACCCTGCATTCAACCCAGCATTGTTTCTCACTTGTTCCACAATTTCCAACCCGGGCTGAAAAATCTCAACCCTAGTCTGGAGCAGGGTTGAGTTCAACCGGAATTGAAATCAATCGCTGGGTCGGCGCAGGGTTGGAAGTTTTCAAGTGTGAATTGTCTAGTTTTCAATCCTGCGTCAACCCCAAGTGTGAAAAGGCCTAAATTTTCCTTAGTTTGTGTACAAGGTATAGTGTTGTTACAGTGTCTTCATGAGTCCATTTGTAACTTTGTCCCTCATTACTTTCCAATATAATATTTCACTCAAGTTTTTTTATTTCAGTCAAATATACAAAGGTTTTCTCATCAGTTAAATGTCAATAACTTGCATTTTTTCAAAATTTTATGTGTGAAAAAGGATTCACATTTCTAAAAGAATGTATTTTATTGTAAGTGAACTATGTAACTGAGGTAATGGAGTCAAGAAATTTTTTCTTCTTTTTTTCACTGTTTCCTCATATCATTAGAGGTCACAGGCCGACCTCCGACGACCTGCGAGATTCAGAGGGAGGAAGCCCTGACTAGCCCTCGCCTGGATGCATTTATCCCGCAGTGCACCAGTGACGGGGCGTTTGAGGCCCGCCAGTGCTACGATCTAATCAGCCAGTGTTGGTGCGTGAATGAAAATGGAGAAGCTCAGGGTGGTACCCGGACCAGGCGTGGCCAGGTACCCCTGGACTGTAACGGTAAGCATCTTGCCTTTCAAGGGGTCTTCTGGGACCCAGTATCGGCCTTGAGCAGAAGCACCCCCTCATCGGTTGAAACGAGCCGTGTTGGCCGGGAGTGTCTATTTGGTTGGTAGCGATGCAACTACGACAACCATTGTCGTTCGTGAATCAACGATGCGCAGTCAATACCAAACGAACTTCCGTTGCTAAGGAAATAGCACCCTCCCATTGTGGAGTAGTGAAATCGTTATCGAAGTGCATATCTGAGTTACTGTTTAAATGCAAAGAAAATGTGGTACAGTAATCAAGTGAAAGTAGCAGGACTTCGTTGACTGCAATCTAAAAGAGCAACTGAGTGTTTGGACGTGGGTTTTGATGAATATGTGTCAGAAATGCACACATTTGCAGTGGACTGAAGACATAAAAGTCTGTCCATGCTTCGGGTGAACACGAACACAAAGTGAACTTGGATACATGTCCCTAAACATTTACTACGAAGTTCACTTGAGTGGAACTGTTGCGAATTCAAAACAAGAAAACTTGATCTGACTTAACAAAGTTACGTCGTATGAAGAATAAACCGAAACAAACAATGAATCAGTCTAAGTCCTTTCGCAAATTTGGCATATCTTTTAAAGTAACCACTCCAACTGTTCAAACTATTTTAACTATTCTGCAGTTCTGCTTCTGGCAGTAAACAGACAGAAATCTGAACCACCATTAATCAAGTAATCAGTGTCCTTTTAATGCAGTAAACTTGATGTCTAAACCCCTGTCTCCACATTGTGTCTTGCAGACAAGTGTTCTTTCCCCAAGTTTGTCGGACCATGCCGCGGCAATTTCCCCAAGTGGTTCTACAACATGGAGACCATGTCTTGCGAGGAGTTTACCTACGGCGGTTGTGGAGGCAACATGAACCAGTTCAACAGCCAGGAAGAGTGCCAGCAGGCCTGTCTACCCCAAGGTATGTAAGGAGGGGATGGAAATACTGCAGGGAGGGGTGATTACTGAGGTCCAGGACGTGACTTTTACTTTGAAACTTGTTTTGTGCTCTCTCTGTCTCTTTTTGGTTACTCTGTAACTCAGGTGTGTTTTGGCAACCCAAACTATAAGCATATTTCAGTTTTGGTCGTTGGGTTAGCATTTTGCCAATTTGATTGTGCCTGTGTGACGTCATTGTTCCAACCAAATGAGACCCAAAGGGTACTTTGACTAGAATTTTAAAAGAGAGAGAAGTAGCATTTATAAACTTGCCGAATATTCAGTGAAATTCATGTTTGTAAAGAAAAACTCATCAGCTACCTTGTACCGGTACTTTACCTCTCAGGGATAACATTACCATTTGGTGTTCAAGTGTTTGCGGGCCACGCTAAACATGTTCCTGGTTATTACCTTGACGTCGTAAACATATTTCTGGTTAGGAGATGCCAAAACACGCCCCTGCAAAATGAGGGCGCTGTTGCCATGAGATCATTAGAGGTTGCCATTGACCATATTAGCTCTTCAGTTACTATCATGCATGTAATTGTCATTCAGTTCACTGTGGTTGTATCAGACGCACCGTTCTCAGTGTCTTCTGGTTGAATCTTTGCCCAAAGGTCCCGAGATGCAGTCTTGCCAAATGCAGAGGGAAGAGGCCCTGGCCAATGTGCGGCCCGGCCAGTATGTGCCGCGGTGCACTGAGGATGGCTGGTTCATGCCCCAGCAGTGTCATGAGAGTACAGGGCAGTGTTGGTGCGTCACCGAGACCGGGATGGAGCAGGGGGAGACCCGACGGGAACCGGGGATGCCGCTGCTGGATTGTGAAGGTAGGAATGGAGATCAAATGGACACGTGGATGTTGCCTCTTAAGGATGCTTGGCATTATGCAGGCATGGAGCTGTTTTTGTCGTTTTAACTTTGTCTTTTATGCCAATTCAGAGTAAACAATACCGTACAAATGTTTGAGGAGTTAATGATTTCTGTGTTACTCTGATCCCCTTTTTATACTTTTCGTTGTGAAGTCAGAGCTTAAAGTTTACCCAGAAAAGCCACTTGCTTCCGTTCACAGCTGGGAAGGAGTCGTTTCCCCTGTGTTTCTTCATGGAGACATTAGTGCTGGGATTATCTACAGTGGTCTATCCTAGCATGTTACCCTAAATGGTCTGAGAGCAAGCTCTTTGTTCTCATCAGGGTTGGGGGAAACTTAGTCCTTCACTGCCCCCTGCTTCAGCAGTTTGACGTTTTGTAACAACGGTGCTGTGACTTCCCGTGAAATCAGTGACTGAATGTGAGCACATCATTTACCAAGGCTGAGTGCAAATCAAATGTACCAGTGAGATTGGCTATTTTAGGGTAGATATACCTCTGCACAGAGCTCCATGGTCACTAATTTTGCTGTTAAACACATGCATGGTATCTGCTGCACACAGGTACAAGAGATGGCAGTTTTGTACGTGGCAACAATGTCCCATATGCGTATGGGTTCATGCACACTCGGTGCTAGCAATGCTATGTACATGACCAATGGCTGTTGAAGTGGACAGCCTTTACATATGCACCAAGTCAATCTCCACCGTCTCCCCTTTACTAATAAGGGGGTATTTCTCCCCTGAGAGAATTCTGATTTACAGTCTCTGCCTCTTCACACAGATGTTTGCAGTTTTCCCCAGGCCACCGGCCCGTGCCTGGGCTACTTTGCCATGTGGTACTACGACACTGAAGAGCAGGCCTGCCGGCGGTTCATCTACGGTGGTTGCCAAGGCAACGGCAACCGCTTTGAAAGCCGAGCGGAATGTGAGCAGTCCTGCGTGGTCCAAGGTACTGAAAACTTTAATCAACTCCGTTCTTTTGGCTTTGATCTTATACTGGGACTTAAGAACCGGAATGATAAGGTAACTTAAACCCGTAACATCAGTCTGAGGTGGCCCAACATTGTTAAAATGATCAATGTGGTGGGGATCCCTTTGTAAGCAGGAATAGCGCTTTGCCATTGTAAATTGACCCATGAACTGATGACGATGTACGTTGTTGTTTACATGTGCACTTTCCTGTGAAGCGGTTTGGGAATAACAGTCCACTGAGCTCTGTAGGAAAGCACATACATATTAACAAAGTATGGTATCAACAGTACAGAGGTCTGTATAACGGTTTTGCCCGTACCCAACGTATGTTAATAAAATACATCTTGAAAGTACAGAGGTCTGTTGATTCCTTGGTTCAATCTGTTAGTTCGCGCCTACCAAGTACCAAGGCAGTTAGCCGATCTTGCTTCATTAGAATTGGATGATTTTTGTAACAGCCCATAGACTAGGTCTCAAGCATAAAATGACATTCTACTTTGCTCAGCACTCAACCGTTTGTGACGTGAATTGACACCTGGGTAGAATTGCAGAGGGAATCATTTGAGTGAGTTCTGTCTGCTGTCGCTCACTAGACAAATAATTTTCAGTGACTTCACGACCAGTTTTGTCATGTCGTATGCATCTCCACCTCTCAATCCATCGCACACCACAGTAACCACAACCTCCGAGCCCGTCTCCCTCTGCCTGGTGACCAGACAGAACGCCCAGTCCCAGAACGTGATTGGCAACTTCATCCCGCAGTGCACGGAAGAGGGCCTCTTTGTCCGGAGGCAGTGCCATGGCAGCACCGGCTATTGCTGGTGCGTGGACGAGATGACCGGGGAGGAGATTGTGACCAGGGTGCCCAAGGACCCGAGGGCCCGGCCAGATTGCGACGGTGAGGGTTTTTTCCCACTTTCATCAGTTCCCATATTGCTATCTTGTCCGAGAATGGTATGTCTGAAAATTCTATTGGAGCTAATAAGAAGCTTATGACTATTACATTTACCCATTTTAAAGTGTTTGGGAGTCCATCGCTGGTACCTGCAAGTCCACCACAAGTCATTCCATCTTAAGCCAAGTCACAGGCTGTTGGAATGAGCTGCGATAAAAGCATTCTGCTGTTAACATTCACCTTGCTACTTATGACTGGTCTTGGAAAGAACTTGTGATGAACTTGACTTCAGCACAGGCTTTTCAGATGGAACTCTTCTCATTTTAGAATCAAGGCATCATACCTGTCGGTCATTGATAGCCAAATCAGACACAGTAACATCCAGTCACCAGTGCACATCTGTTCCCCCATTGGGCCTGTGAATGACCAGAAGAGGGTCCCCTGGTCACATAGACTTGCCCTAGTGACCTCACTGCTGGTCAGTAGACTTGGCCACAAATGCACATCAACTTTTAGAAATTAGTATGGCTAATTTTAACAAAAGAACGATTGTTTGATACTTTTCCCAACTTAGTCTACTACCGGAATGACACAGTCCGGATTGGTGAGCCCAGTAATACCACCCAGCCGACGGACAGGGTGACGCTGAGCCCCAGCCACCCGTTGGGTGACGAAGGCTGTGCTACGTCCACCTTTGGCTGCTGTCCAGATGGCGTCACCCAGGCCAGCAGGGAAGACCATCTCGGCTGTCCAGGTGAGCTTCTCTGGCCTTGGTCATGTATCACCAGGTCACGTCTGCTTTTATACTGTCTCAGTGACACTCGTGGGTGTCACAAGGGAGGGGGGGGCACTTGACCCCTCCCTTAATAATTGAGAAAAAAAAGGAAACTTAAAAAGCAAAATAAAAGAAATGAAAAAAAGTGGTGGGAGGGGATGAAAACCCCCAGTTTACTTTTTTCAAAAAACGTAGAAATTGACCACCTTCCCTCTGTTAATGGTTTGTTGCTGATGAGCGCTTTGAGCCCCCCCCCTGTAATCCTGGCGACGCCCATGGCAACACTAACAGCTGGCATTATGGAACAATTAAGATGAACCATGTTGACCATTAGAGTACAGTATGATGTTAAGATCTTACTCTCCACTTTGTCCACAGTTTGAAAACTCAAAAAACATCAGGAACTGGTTCCAGTAATTATACCGTTTTTAATTTCTGATATTTCAAATTTGATATTTTAAGACATTGGTTTTAACTTGCAGTTAAGAATAATACCCTCAGGTCAACTCCAGTTGACAGGGAACGTGTATGTATTAGCCACAACAGTTCAGCTTTATAGTATCCAGTCATCACAGTAATGTTTAAAAGATCTGCTGGTTGCAGCAAAACTAACAGCTTCTTTAGTAAGTGAAGTTTAATTGCGGGGGAGCCCCAAAACTCCACCATTCACTTCAGCTTCTTGAGGTAAAGTGTGCACTTTTGTGTCGCAAAGGCCTAGAGAGCTACCACTGGTCAACTACAGGGTTTGTAGGGGCTACCTGGTGCGAGCAACAAGATTGATGTCAGAGCTGCTCAAATAACATGAGTTAGCTCAGGTCAAGGTGTGAAGCATGTTGAACAGACGCAAATTTTAGCAGCAGAAGGTGACGCACTTCTCTCATAACCAATACTCCACATGTAGGCATCACCCCAGCAATGGTGGAAGTGGCCCCCTCAGACTCCACGGTGGTATTGGGCGGCACCCTGACGATAGCCTGCCGCGCCCAGGGCAGCCCCACCCCGACTGTCACCTGGCATCGCGAGGACGCGAATGTGGAGGATGGCAGGGACAGCAGAATCAGTGTGAGCGAGGACGGCACGTTGGTCATCGAGGACGTGGTGGAGGCAGATTCTGGCCTGTACGTCTGCAGGGCCTCCAATGGCGTCGGGCAGGCCGCTAAAGTTGCAGTGGATGTCAACGTTTTCAGTGAGTATATTTGGTCTGCACATGAACACATGTGGGCAGTATATATGGCTCACGAAACCGCAGAGCCTAGCAGCGCTGCTCAAATGCCGAAGGGGTTGGTCTATACAAATCTTTCTCATGCTGCCTGTTGTTCTTGTGGATGGCCTGAGTTTGCAGAAATAGCATTCTTAGTTGCTGCAACAAAATGTACGTTTGTCCCATTAATTCCTACAGAGGAGACAATCATTCAATATTGTTGTAGCATGTATTATTTGATTTTTTTGGTAGCTGCATGAGAATTTCTTAGTACTCCTGGAGTATTTTGTTGCTTTTGTATTGATGACTAGCTATAGTTTACCGGCCACTGATCGGCCGAGAAAAAAGCCAGCTGTGATAGAAAGACAGAGGTCTGTACAAAGCCAAAGAGTATGGACAATAAATACTGCATGCTTTTATGATACGCTTCAAAATCACTGAGAAACTTGACTCTGTCGTATGGTAAAAGAAAAAAAGGTAAAGGTTAGTACAAAACGTCAGGTCAGTATCTGATACTTGGTTACCCCAATGGAATGGGTTTCTTCAGGCCTGAAGAGCTTTTCTTAACTGTGAGCGTCCTTGATCTGAGGAGTTTCTCACAATCCAGCTCGAAACCTCAAGATTTGAGGCCTTAGCTTCATTAATTTTGGCCCCTGACTTGTATTCCAACAGTCAGTGCTTGCTAGTTGATATTTACGCCCAAAGGCAAGGCTACAGAACAAACTAAATTTAAAAAGTCAACTAGAGCTGAGAAAGTAACTTTGGGACTCTATCCTTTGATAGCGCCGGTGCAAATTCCTGAGACTAGCCAGCTCTCGGTGCGGGCTAAGGAGGGAGACGTGGTGGAGCTCCACTGCCGGGCTACAGGGAACCCCAAGCCAGTAGTGACCTGGGAGCGAGGTGTGGTCTTCCTGCCTGACAACGACCCCCGCATGTCACAGCTGGAAGACGACACACTGCGCATTGAGAATGTGGAGCTGGGTGACTCGGGCAACTACGTTTGCACGGGACGCAACATGTTCGGCACAGTGCAAAAGAAGACCATCACGCTGACTGTCGAAGGTAAACCTACAGTGTTACTTCTGTATTTTCAACTTGAGTTTTGCCGCTCACAGATATGTGTGACCCACTCTGCAAAAAAGGGTACCAAGTCGCACAATGCCAAAACACGTAATGGCCTGTTCTATTTGGAGAAGGCAAAATTTCTTCAAAAACGTGATTTTGTGTTTTTTCCTTTAATAGCTTCTATAATATTTGTATTTTCAGAATTTGTGACTACAAACATCGATACTGATAAATTGATCATTCAGTAAGAAATCCTTTAAAGCATTGTGTTTCCAAGGGCAACACTTTTATTGAATCCGAAAATGTGGATGTACAAATGTCTATATATATCCAGAATGCAGCCCTCTACAGGGGTCATTCATGTATCAAATTGTAGCTTCTGAAGTACAGAATCCAGCCATATCAAAAACTCATAACCTGAATCTGGCGACTTATTACCCATTTTTCTAGAGCTGGTTTCACATATGTATAGTACCGTATACTCGGCGTTTTATGTGAAACAATTCACAAGCTCACTCGGATGAGACATGAAACCACAATCCAAGAGGCCCCAGTTGCACATTTCCATCATAGCATTTTGGTATCTTACAGCCGAGGTGCACATTGTGAATATTCCCTACGATGTCACGGCCGAGGTAGGGGCCACCGTTAGGCTGGCTTGCGGCAGCACCGGCTCCCCCAAACCCACCACGCGATGGACGGTCAACAACGTGGGCCTGCCTCCCATGGATCGGTTTGAGTTACTGCCCACAGGGGATCTGATCATCAACGGTAGGTTGAAAGGGGGGGGGTTTGTCGAGGTGTGTTGGGTTTGTTAACCACTTAGCGCTGGGGAGCCCGGTTTCAGGTACCTTGGGTTTGTACACATAGCCGGGGTACCCGAAATCGGACAAAAGACCGCACTTAAAAGACTGAGCTGCTGGGAATTGCCAACATTTTTTCAGTTGTCAATAGCTCAGGAAATCCGTCTTGTTTTGAAAGATTATACCACTGTTTGTGGCATTCAGCTTGACCAGATTACCACCGGGGACAAAAGCACTCCAGTGATGAGCAATACAATACCGCTGCATGCTAATCTGGCCCATATTGAAAAGACGTCAGCAGCACACTGTGCTAGTTTCAGGAACAAAAGAAACTTTAATATGTAACACCACACCATCTGGGCTCTTTTTACAAGGCGGCAGGCCTGGCTGAAATACTCAGACATCAATAGATGTTGCTTGTCAAATTAGAGTAGCCACCAGACAGTCATTCATGTGGGTGTAAACGTCCAGTAAACAAAGTAATTAATTTTTTAAAGAATTTTGAAAACAGAAAATCTTTTAAAACGCCCGTATGTGTGCACGGCTATTTTAACCACTTTCTGCCAGGGATTCCGGTACCGAACACGTATGCTTTATATTCGTGGCTGGGGTCTCCCAACTCGGACAAAGTGAACTGGGCCTTGTAACAAAAGACCGTACTCCGAACAAAAGACCAGGCTGCTGGGCACCACCAACAGTTTTTCACTCTCAAAGGTGGAGATAATCCAGCCTTGTTTTGAAACAGTATACCATAGTTTGGGGCATTTCGAGTGAGCGGATTACCCCCGCGGACAAAAGCGCTCTACGCCCGCAGCGATGAGCCACACAGCACGGCTGCATGCTAATCTGGCCCCTATGAAGAAGAGGTCAGCAGTGCACTTTGGCAGGTTCTTGAACAAAAGAAAGTTATATAACAATGCACAATCTCGGCTCTAATTACAAGGCTGCAGGCCTGGCTGAAATACTCGGCCGTCAATAGATTTTGTCTGTCAGGCTAGAGGGGCCACCAGACAGTCCTTTGTTCGGGTGTAAGTGCCCAGTAAACAAAGATGGGAATTTTTAAAGAATTTTGAAAACAGAAAAAAATGATAAATATCCCTCCCCAGCATCATCAACATTGATAACTGCCACCGGCAGCAAGTGGTTAAGCCATCCAGTACACCACTGGACAGTATTAAGGAAATAGTGACCCCAAAACGGATGCACTTTGTCCAAAAACTTCATGTACGCTGATATTTTATCATGGTATGTTTTTTAATGATGCTGTGTAACATGTTGGGCAGTATTTCAGTTTGGAAGAAATAATGGCAGTATGTATCCAGCGTTTTAGGGATCAACAATGCAATTGAAACTGTTTTCGCTTTAGTGTTTCCCCTAAAGGCCTCTCCGCATCGACTCCTGAGTGTGCCTCTGCGCGGTGTTCAATATTGCAAGGAGACTGATTTAGGGATGAGTCTTGTATAAGATTGAAATGAATTCCTTTCCAGGAGAATAGTAGATCTTACTTTTGTGGGCCTTTCTCTGCTTGGTATTTTAGGTTTAAGAAGCACTGATGGAGGTACCTACACGTGCACTGCGGCCAATGGTATCTCCAGCGAGAGCGCTAGTGCTACAGTCACTGTTCAAGGTCAGTTATGTCTGTCTTTGAAAACTGTCTTTTGTTTGAAACATTTGAGTTTGATTTGAACAAATCTACTTTAGAAAACTGATAGAGATGGCTTCATTTTGTTCATTTTTGGGCCCTGCATGGCCTCTTCATTCTTCGTTTCTTTTTATTTGGCACGATACGCATTTCTTTGCCATTTCACTTAACGTCAAAGTGGTGTATATACAACATGGGGGGTAGTGTTTCAGTGTCATTCGGATTCTAATTGGTCCCTGTGTTTCTTGTTTGATGTTCTCATGTTCTTTGTTTTTTTACTTTCTTGCGTAGTTAAAAGCGATTCAGTTGTTTGGGTTCCTTTTTTTTTTCATTTAGTTTGGCCAAGAAATTGGTATTAATGGGTGAAATGGTCAATTTCGGGGCATCTTGAAGTGTACCGTTCATCCATTGATAGACAAGTAACAGAAGAAAAGTGACTGCAGCCTTTGGAATGTTCTCTTGGTACCACCCCAATCGAACTCTTCAGCTTGTGTCCTGGAAATCTTTGATATTGTCGGTGTCTTGATTGAAACTGAAGAAATCACTGAGTACCGCATCAAAGGAGTGTTAGTTTCAAGTTCAGTACTTGACATGTGGACCAAATGGTTGAGGGTTTACAACTCCTGATCCTGGAGTCTATGGTTCCAATCCAGCGGTGGG